CAACTCTGACCTGATCCGGCTATTCGAAGCATGCAGTTACACAACTGGAATATGAAGAGTCACCGGATGATGATGATGATAATAATAATGATGATGATCGAGTCCCAACTTCCCACTGACTCTGTTTTTGGACAGAAATAATTAATGCAACCTATCTGCGTTCCCTGACATTAGAGAGACATTCTCACCGTTTTCCATTGTTTATTCTAAATAGTTTATGAAGAGTGCACAAAACAACACAATAGCGGACGTTTATACGTCCTTGACGGTCTATGGCAAACTCCATCAATCACTAGGTTGGACTGATCCAATTCCACGTTCTCACACGACTTCGAGGACCAATCATTGTGACCCAAATGGAATCTGAGCGGAACACACAGCAGCAGTACAACAAGAAAGGCTCGACCAATCGATTACCGTCGAACAATGAGGAACCCCTAGCCCGCTATACCTTCTGCCACGTCGATTATACACACATATGTAAGATCGGTGCCTAATCACCCATTAACACAGCCCAAGGAACATTTCTAAACTCCTGTCAGAATCCAATATGAAAACGCAGCGGAGGTTGGTGATGATGAGACATTGGCGACACAATTATTCTTACAACCTGAGTTAAAACACTGCACATTACAGCAATAGAAATGTCGTGTATATATATATCCCCAGCAACATAATGTGTAACTCATCGATTAGCCAAAATGAGCTAAATTTATTAGTGAACATTTAGATCACAAAAGCTAATATTTAGAACGCAATGTACGTACGCATGTTAGTGCTGTGAATAGTAATGAGGAAGTTTCTACAGTTAAAAAGACCCACTTTTCGATCATCGTAACCAGCTTGCCAAGCATTGAATAGAATGACAACGGGACCTCCTACCAACAAAGGGATGGAGGGATTCGGACCTTACAACTCATTGCGAGAAAACTAAATCAATCGACCAGCACCGTCACGAATACCAAAGCGTCCAATGGTAGAGTGGTCTTATGCTAAATGATATTGGAGATGTTGACATGAAATACGAAAGAAATGCGTTCAATGCGGACCCGTGAAATGTAAAAAAACACTAACCGGGCTTTAACTCACTTGATGTTGGTACGTGTTGCATTATAGTACAACACTCCGAGATGATGCCTTCGATCCGGCGGTTTATATGTGAACCGTATTTTGAGCCCCTTCAGTCGGACCAAATTCCGGGAATTCTCCAGTACGTCGCTGCAAGCTGTCTCACTAAATGCATCCAGACTGAGTAAAAGCCAACACGTCATTGAGGTCTCTGTGGTACGATTAGCATAAGTCACGTGTTGCGAGAATATACAGTAGTTTTTAGTCCCGGACTGAATGTAATTCAACCCGATCTCCTCGGACGCGTTGACAGCCTGCAGACGCAGCAGCTTCTCCAGACTAACCAAGTGGAGCCACTTGCGAGTGGACAGTTCTCGTTCTTTAAGAAATATTTCCACATCTTGAAAGTACCGTTCAGCCATCTGATTTTGTACAGTATCCCAATGGTTTGCACCGATCAAAATACGACGCCATTCCAGATAACCTTTGTATGTTTGGACAAATGTGAACTTGAAGATGAGAATATTGGTGAGTAATAGAAAGAAGAAACCCAGTAAAATAAAGACGCGTACTACTAGCCAGAAACGCCTGAGTCTTTTCACGCGAACCACATCACAACAAAATGTGGTCACCTTCGACGAGTGAACGGTTTGGGCAGCATTCTGTTTTCCACAGCGCTCTGTTTCCTCATCGGAACTGTCTCGAGCAGACACCGCGCTCATGTGTGGTGGGCCAGCGTCGAGTCGAATGTCAGATCCGTCGGACATTTTGACACAACCATCGTCCGTACTGTTCATAAAATAAAACACAGCAAGGGCAACAAAGCGAATAAGTGTGAAACCCAGAATCATCGAGGATTTGACAAGTAGAAACTCCGATATGGCAGATTCATGACAAGCACTCAAGTAAGTGTTGATCAAACTGAGCGGTAGCTCTGACAAGAGAATGTTGAATAAATTGGCCACATCGATGATGAACCAACAATCCGGTTCATTCCAGAGTGTGTTTGTCCAAGCCAGAATATCCACAACGAAAAATACAATCTCGATCACGTTAAACGTGAGCAGAAAGGCCAAAAGTTTGTCAGATGTACGATCGAAAACCAACCCGGTCACCTGAAGAGACGCATCCCGATAGACTAGCCAACTGAAAACAAGGTTGGCCAGTGAGATGCACAACATACAAACAATGTAAGTTATACGAATCCACCGTTTTTCGTAGAGCAATGTGGTAAGGACTTTCATTTTAAATCTCCAACCTGGTGGATTGGATATGTTTCGCGAAATGACGCGTGGTTTTTCTTCCGTTCCTCCGCAACAAACAGGTTCAATCATGGGTGGTGGTGTTTCACGTGAGCCCTAAGGTGCGAATTGGTCAAAATAATGTACAAAAACGATGGAAGTGAAGCCCGGATCGGATTGTGAAAATTAATTCAAATCGAAAAATCGCTCAGTAAACGATTCGAATAGCCGTTTGAAGTATAGGTTGTATGCGGGAANGTTGTATGCGGGAATGTGAGCGGCACAATCGAATAGCTGGTCATCGTTCACGGATCGATAAATCGATAGATGAACCGTCCGATAGCAGGCGAAAAATCGTAACGGTTCGAGTAGAGCTCAATCGAAGGCCGATGGACGCGGAAAACCAAACGCGCAGGAATTGATCGATTATTCAATAGCTATCAAACATTTTATTGCCGGTAGGAAAAAGCAGTTAGAAACGCTAGATATAATCGAGCCTCGAAATTCCGCATCCATATGAATTTGTGTTGCTTTAAACATTCAGTGGCAAGTAGACTAAAATCAGGAGTAATCAGTCATACAAGTCTCACACTGGCATTAATCAAATTCGGTGCTTTGTTTTCATGTCTGATTGTATTCAACATGCTT